TGTGTTTCCCGAAGAATTTCCAAGAATACCTCCAGAAAGACAGGTCGAACTTCAAATCAACCTCATACCGGGAACCACATCAATTGCCAATTCACCCTATAGGTTGACTCCCACCGAAAATTGCCAAGTTATCCAGTCAATTGAGAAGAATTGTTGTGCAAAGGATTCATCGGACAAGCTTCTCACCCTGGAAAGCTCCGATCTTGTTCATCAAGAAGACGGATCCTTTAGAATGTGCATCGATTTTAGGAAATTTAATAAGATCACTATAAAAAAAAAGACTGATACCCACTTCCTCGGACTGACGATCTATTTGGCCAGCTCCAAGGAGCTAGTTACTTCTCTAAAATAGATCTAAGAACCGGTTATCAACAACTTCTAGTCCAAGAAGACGACATTCCAAAAACTTCCTTCCGAACTCGTCGCAACCATTTCAAGTCATTGTGATACCCTTCGGTCTAATGAATACTACCACGATATTCATGGACCCTACGAACCGAGCTATCCCAACCATTCCTAGTCAGCCTTTTAATTATTTTCATCGATAACATACTCGTCTGCTCACAAAGCAAGAACAACACACTGTCAACACTTACGATCAGCCTTGAAAGCATCGAAGCCGAAGAATATCACGGAGGAACCACTGAATGGATGGATAAAACTCTTGAAGTCGAAAGACGAAGCTTATAGTTATACGAGTTGAGTTGGGCATTATCCGGGTGATTGTCGATAGGCTAACCCAATCCACCCATTTCCTTCCAATACAGAAATCAAACAAGACATAAAGATTAGCATGGACTATATCAAAGAAATCGTGAGACACCATGAAATATCGGTATCTACTATCTCGGATCGAGATAACGGAATTTCTTCAAGACTTTGACAGCCATTTCAGAAGGCTATAGGAACATAGCTAAGTATAAGCGTTGCTTACCACCCTCAAACCAATAGCCAAAGCAAACGGACCATTCAACCACTCGAATTTATGCGACAAGTCTGGGTGTTTGAATTCAGCAAGTCATGGGATACCCGGTTGCCCTTGATTGAATTCTCACGCAATAACAGCTATCACGCGAGCATCAAGGTTGCTCTTTCCAAGACTCCTTATAGTAAAAAATGCAGATCACTCACTAGTACTCACACAGGGCCAAAAAATCCATTCGCAAAACAACAGAGAAGATAATCCAAAATCTGAACTCGACTTCAAGCATCATGAGACAGACAGAAGAGTGATGCTCACAAATGATGAAAACCTTTGGAATTCCAAGTCGAAGGTCGGGTACTAATGAAAGTTTTTCCTCAGAAAGGAATGATTCGCTTTAGGAATCGAGAAAACTAAACTGGTTGATACATCGGACTGTTCGAGATCCTTGCTCGGATTGGTCCAAAGACTTATAGGGTGCAGCTGCCTGTAGAGCTCAGCTACGTACACCATGTGTTCCGCGTCTCGAATTTGAAAAGATGCATATCAGATGAGACTGTTATCATTCCTATAAAAGAAATCGGAATAAATGAGAATCTCATGTTGGTCAAAGAATCAGTCGAGGTATTGAGTAGGGAAGTAAAACGTATAAGACAAAGCCACATTTTCATTGTGAAGGTTCGATGGAACGCTATGTGTGGACCGAAATTCACATGGGAAACGTGAAGATCGAATGAAGTACCTATTCTATCATTCATTAACCTATCCTTCGAAAAAATTTCAGGACGAAATTCCCTCTAACGGGGGGATGATGTCAAAACTAGCATTTCAGCTAGGAAATTCTACTATCATGTAGTCATTCACTTAGTGTAAAAGCCTATACTCTAAGTGAATACTATACTCTATTCTCATTAAAATAAATCTCATATGCTTAAATGAGGCTAGGAAACCTTAGAAATCCCGACTCAAGTTCATTATGGACTAGGATTCTCTTATTGGGCCTAAGGGACCAATAAATTATCAATTCATCAATCTATAACATTTTAGGCCATTTGGGCCTAAAATGATCCATCTTATTTCTAATGGGCCTTGTTGGTCCATAAAAACTCCAATTAACCTTATTGGACCATAGAACCCATTCTTTTATACTTTTGGGCCGTGAACTACCTTAAAGGCCCAACGGGCCGAAAAATATTATAGGTCCTATGAAATTCGATCAATGCCAAGGATTTGAGCCCAAAGCTATTTCACCTTCATTCATTGAACCCATTCTCTTGACAACACATAATTGTTTAACATATATCTATGAATCACATACATCTATGAAGCTTATTACCCTCCATGCAAGAAAATCACTCTCCCCTCTCTTCATGATACTCTCGGCCAAACACCCCACAACACCACCTCTAATTCTTTCTATCAAACACTCTCAAAAACCTCTTCCTTCTTCCATCAAAAATCTCGAGTTTGGTGTGTAGTTTCAAGAGGATTCTTCACCAAAATCATCATCCTTGGTAAGTTTATGCTTAGATCCATGGTCTAGTCTCTTGATTACTTCAAAAATCTTCTCTTAACTCATGCATTTTCGTGGATCATGACTTTTAGATCCATCTTGAATTCGAAAACTCCTCTCAAAAAGCAAGCTAGGCCGAATTCTCCATCCCTCTTCTCACCAAAACCGAACCAAACCCCAAGGTGAGTTCATACCCCCTTGTTTTTTGTTTTTACTTGTTTTTAGGGGAGAATACAAGTTGATTTGTGTAGATCTATGTGTATATGCATGACTATGTGTGTTTTCCATGAATTATTTGGTGATTATGTGTTGATTTCTTCACTAATCTAAAAATATGTTAAGAAACTTGAAGTTTATCACTAGGATCTTCATATGAATCTTGAGTGTTAAGGTATAAAATAAACGTGAAGAACGATTAGATCTTTGTAACAGGTATGGCGATGAACACAAAACAATAAATAAGACAATAGTGGATCATAATATGTCGAATGATTAGATCAAACAATCCTCAGCAGAGCTCGACTAAGAACTTCCGCTGTAGAGGATTTAGGCTTACAAGAACGATAATAATAAACTTCTGAATAATGCTCTGATCGTTCTATTCTTTTCGTTTTCCTAAGATGCATGCAAGCCCCTATATTTATATTAAACCCTACTAAACTCACGGATGGACAGGCCCATACCGGAGATACAAAAACGGACTAACTAACGAGCCCAATAGACACAACATACAAAACACGACCCAACAATCTCCCCCCTTTGCGTCAAATTGGAGCGAGACTACTTCTTCTTCTTGCGTGGGCCAGTAGCGGGAACTTTCTTCATAGTATCAAACAGACGTGAGATTAGCGCCAGGATAGTCTGTCTGAACTGAATGTACCATTGAATCATGTCATCGAAGTACTTGACATCATCCGCTATGTTTTGCTTGCATCTGTGGATGATCCCCAAAACGTGCTCTAAACATGCAGTGGTGTAGAGGTGTTTGTCAGCCAAGGCGAAAAGGCATTTATGTCCTTCGTTCCTGGTAATCATGACCGAGTTCCTCTTCGGGTCAATCTTACCCATCTGCATCAGATTGAGATCACTGGCAGAGCCAATAGGAGATATTGTTGGTTGCTTCCTAAATACACTCGCAATCTCCTGATCCATCAGTGCAACTTCCATGATATAGCACACGAGCATCCTTTTGAAATTGTCGATGATCGGACCGTATTCAGCTTCGTTTGTGAGTAGGATGTTGTGCAAGATAATCCAATCATGGGGATTAAGGTTGGGAAGATCTGCAAGGGAAAGAGCATGTTCGGTTTTGGCAGATCCCCGAAGTACCTTGAACCGAATGTTGATGAAGTTCCCTTCACTATACGGCTTCTAGACCCGAACGTTGACAATTTTCTGAGCGCTCCAAGTCTGATATTGGGGTTGAGCAGCCTTTAGATAAAAATTAATTAAGTCCCGATCAACCTGTGGATGAGGATAAGGGAACTCTGCAATGTTGGAGAAGGCATGAAAGATGAACGCCTTTCGGGTCAGTGGCATGTCAAACTGAGAGTCGACAGTATTGGAACGATCAAAAGAGATCACAGGTTCCAGCCACAAGATACTCGGTGTGTCAATGGCTTCTTTAATCATCCTCTCGAGAGTCCAAGAAGGAAAAAGAGTTTTCCTACTCTCAAGAAGGTCGTGGGCTTCCTTCTATTTTCTTTCTGCTTCTTCATCCTCTCTCGCCACATGAGCACTAATATCAGCCTCATCGTTTCGACTTTTTCGCTTCAACAAATCAGCGATTGTCTCTTTATCTTCATCTTCATCCTCCTCAGCAATCTTCTTGCCTTTGTCTTTCACACCAGAACCGGAGGCTTGACCTACTGGAGGAGGTTCGGTAGTGTGAGTTGCCTTTGAGGTAGGAGGTGGTTGAGACATTGATTCCTTCTCTCCCCCTTGTTTCGGAATGGACACGAAATCAAGTAGCCCTTCAATTTTGCTGAGTAGGGAAATGGCGGGAGTGAGCTTTTCTGCAAGGGTACACCTCACAGAGTAGTTGAGAATGGGATCATGTGCTTCGAGGATGTTGGAGATGGCAGAGTGGACATCCGAAACACACGATTTTATCACCTCCCTTTCGGTCCGAAGAGAGTCAATCTCTTGTTGAGAGTTGGAGAGTTGAACACTCTTGACCTTCAGAGCAGTGGTCTTCCTTGCAAGAGCATCCATAACAGAGTTTTTGGCAGCCAAATCTTCATGGAGCTTGGAAAGACGCTCTTCAATGGTTGTGCGAAAGGCTGAGTTGTCGTCTGAAAGTGTTTGACGAAAAGAAGCGGAGGACTTCAACTCAGTGGAGACTGATGTTGCCAGCTGGTGAAAATAGGATCCAGCGTAGTCTTGGCTGCATTTGCACTCTCCTGTAAAGACTTTAACAAGGAAGAGGCATCAGAAAATAGTTTATCGACTTTTTCGTTCGCAGCCTGACAGGCTTTTGTAGAGGCATTGATGGCGGTGGTGGCAGAAGTAATGGAATCTTGCTGAGCTTTGGAGAAGGCATCAACAATCTTCTGAACTGTATCTTCAGAAAGAGATGACTGAGAAGCGGAAGAGGAGGCGATGAGCAAGTCAATCTTGTCATGGAACTCCTTGAGATGTCTTTTTGTAACTAGAGCGTCGTCATCGTCATCACTCTGTACTTGAAACGGACTATAGTAGACTGAGTCAAACGTCATATCCTCCCCGCCAAGGAGAAGGTGGTGGTGGTGAAGCTAGTGGTGCAGAAGTATGGGTAGGTTCGGGTTGGGTTTTTTCGGGTGTTGGTGTAGGTTCAGGTGTTTTTGTGGTTTCGGGTGCATCAGTATGAACCCCCGTATCAGATACGTTGCCTCTAACATCTGCAGTGGTTTTTGTGGTTGCTTTAGTAAATATGGGTGGTATTGGGATGGAAGTGGTTGGAATCTGTGTAGAGGGGTTTATGGGGGGAATGGAAGTAGGAATAGTTTTAGGTGGAGAGGAAATTGGAGAAGGAGGGATTTGAACTTCAGGGGTTGGAGATCGTGATGGAATGTTACCACGCTGAGAGCCTTCAGAATCAGAACTCTCACCATCCGACTCGCTTGAGGAGGAAGCGATAATCAACTTTCGCTTCGGATGAGTTTTTCTTCTCTTCTGCTGTGGAGACTGAGCAGCCCTGGTCGATTTCCTCTTCTTTGGAGAAGGGCCTTTTGCTCCCTTGGCCACCTGTTTTCCTTTATCAGCCTTCTTGCCTCGTGTATCAGGCTTGTCGGCGTCATGTATTGATTTCAACATCTCCGGAGAAAGATCCCTCGGACCAGAAGGCTTGAATTCCTTGTACGTCCTGATAATCGGGCTATCAGCAGGAACATCCCCATACATGGTTTCCGGAATAGAACCGTTGAACGGAAACTTTGAAGCATCTGACACAATGATCTTCGTGGTATGGAACGTACCAATCGAAGACATTGGAGCACCTGCGATAATGGGGACGTGGTACTTGTCCATCATCCATTTCGTGATAATTGTCCAAAACCTGGCATAAGAAATCTCCGAGTGACGAGAAGTCGAGGAGAGACTCCGAATCAACTATTGCCATAAGACAGACCCATAATCCATGTTGATACCATTGTAGACACCATACATTATGGAGAGAAATAAACGGATGGCACCATCAGATCCAGCACTTCTTTCGGATAACCCCTTCAAGAGAACAGTGAACAGCCTATTCCACTGTGGAGGTAGGCACGACGTCTTGAACATCGTGACCGTAGTAAGTACCTCCGTATAACCGATGTTATAGAACATGTTGAAGAAGTGACCCATTGGAATCGTTTCAGGGTTAACCCTCGAAGAATCAGGTTGAAACCCAAACAACGAGCAAAACCTTTGCTTTGAAATTGACGCCTTGTGCTCAAAGAAATCAAAAACGATTCTGTCAACGACCTTGTCGTAGTGAGCGGTCGCAAAGACCTGTGACAAGAACTCCATTGGAACAGTTTCAGCCCTGGTAAGTGCAGGAGCAATCGGAGAAAACTTCAGACACTCGATGATGGGAAACATGAAGGCGTCGTAAGCATGAGGAGTTAAATCGATGATTAGGCTTTGTTGTGGGCGAATGGGCAAAATGTGGGATGTTGCGTGAACGGAAGATGAATCTGCCATTGCTTGAAGAAAGTGGAGAAGATGATGAACAGTGAAGGATTAAGGAATTTTTGCTCTCTGGGAAATTTAATTGCAGTAAAGAGGTAAATGAAGGATTATGTTGCCTTTTATACTGGGGGTTAAGGAGAGAGAAAAATCTTTCCAAATCTTCGATCGAAAAACGAAGGGTTTTTCGGAGTTGACTGACGCGTGACAGTTGAGGTGCCGATGATCACGTATGAGAAAGAATGCCAGGCCCCTAATAACACGCCTTCCATCAGGCGCCGGTTGGAGACGAGACGGTTCAGATTCACACGCGCCCCTCTTGCGCCGTTTGGAGATCAAACGGTTCCGATTCGCATGCTTTCCCTTTTAGCGCCGTTTGAAATCAAATCGATTCGACTCCCACCTGAGTCAGCATGTCATCATCTTATCCTTTTAAATTGAAACGGCATCTTTTGAAAAATGCTCCCACTTGGATTAAAATCAACCACAACCTTTAATCAACCGCCAATCCAAGTAAAATGCCTTGGAATTAATAGAACCTGAATTTAGGAAAATCAAAGATTTTCGTGCTTAGGGTGTAAAAGAAAAGAAATAAAGCAATATTTTTAGGAAAAGATGTGATGTCAATAAAGACACGAAACAAATGATCCTGGGCACAAATATCTTCCTTCAAAGTCAAGAGAGACCTTAAAGTGTTTGTGTGGTTTCCCGTTGAATAACGATCATACACTTGTTAAGAAGTGTTGAAAGGCTTCTTTTAAGTGGGTTTATGTGGGTGGCTTTCGCTTCAATTCAGAGTTCCTGATCTTGATATAAGACAGAAATCGAACGAAGTACTTGTGAGACCAGTGTAGTCTATTGAACAAGTAGGTTGGGGATAATTTAATTTGGCTAGGAAATATATAAAATCTCAACAAAAATTAAAACTGGATCCCAAGGGAAGAAATGTTATTGTGTTTAACAATGTCATAGGAATCAAACAAAAGAAAATTTTGAGATTTCATGGAAGTACGTCCATCAATTCATTAGTGAAAACTAGAGCAAATTAATTGTTCACCATCAATTCATATTGGGTATTGAATTTTGGGTTTCACTTAGCTCGTAGTGGCACGGAACTAAGATCATGAACATAGTAATTGTGTAACCATAAACCTCAGTGGTAATTTCTGAGAGTCTCAAGGGTTACGTTTGTGAAACGAATGTGATGGAGAAATGTAGTGTAGATGGTGTAAGAAAACAAAGTACCTCTGCTGAGAAAAATAGGACCAAGCAGAAAACTCTTATCTCATGTGAGAAGAGA